GAAAAGGGCTAAAAAACTAACAATGTACAGATATGATTGTATCTCTGGGAAACTCAAAAAAATCAAGTAAAAATCTGCCGCAAACAACCAGAGAATTCAGTTTGGTAGTGGGATATAAAATTAATATACTGAAATTACTAGTCTTCATATATAAAAATAATAGTTTCATATTAGAATTAGGGAATGTATTTTTAAAGCAAAAACCTTAAGGTGAAATTAGCAAAATTTATGAAGGACACAGTAAACACTCCTAAATGACAAATGCATTTTAACCTTGGGAAACATATCCTATTCTTGGATGAGAACATTCAACAGCATAAAAAGACATCGATAATTCTCTTAATTCAGTACAAACTTCATGTGATCCCCCATAAAAAAGCCAGCATGTTTTTTCTCTCAAGAACTAGACATGTTAAATTTAAAGTTCAGTGCTCGCTTCGGCAGCACATATACTAAAATTGGCATGATACAGAGAAGATTAGCATGGCCCCTGCACAAGGATGACACACAAATTCGTGAAGCATTCCATATTTTTTTAAATTTAAAGTTCATATGGAGGGACATCCCTGGTGGCACAGTGATTAAGAATCCACCTGCCAATGCAGAGGACATGGGTTCGAGCCCTGGTCTGGGAAGATCCCACATGCCACAGGGCAACTAAGCCCATGCGCTACCTACTGACCCTGCGCTCAGAGCCCATGAGCCACAACTACTGAGCCCACATGCCACAACTACTGAAACTCGTGTACCCTAGAGCCCACGCACCGCAACTACTGAAGCCCACGCTCTCTAGGGCCCACGTGCCACAACTACTGAGCCCACGTACTGCAATTACTGAAGCCCACATGCCTATAGCCCATGCTCCACAACAAGTGAAGCCACCACAATGAGAAGCCCGCGCACCACAACGAAGAGTAACCCCCACTCACCACAACTAGAGAAAGCCTGTGCACAGCGACGAAGACCCAATGCAGCCAAAAATAAAATAAAACAAAAAATAAAGTTCATTTGGAAAAATAAGGAAGAATAACATGAAAATGTTTGAAAAAGAACAACAATGGAAGAATAATCATACCAGATGTTGTTTGTGTTATGTTAAAGACTGAATAATGAAAACATTGTAGTACTGGTGAATAATTATACAGGCAATATGAATGGAACAGAATGCAAAGTTCAGAAGCATTGCAGATATTTTACAAAGTGTAGTGTATATTAAAGTGAACTTCAACTCAGTAGGACAAAGAGATTTTTACATATATGGTAAACTGAAACTATTTTACATACACACATGAACGAAAAAAACAGTTATTACCTAAGGAAACCACAAGCCAAAACACAAAACAGCACTGCTACAAAAGGTGAGAGTGACTCACCAATGGTGTTCCAAGCTCAACATTTGTCAGAATAAGAAGTAGGAAGGAAGACATAATAAACAACTGGTGTTTATTTGTTGGGGGAAGGGTACTAAGCCAAAAGCAGCAAATAGACTGAACCTGCACAGCATGTCTACATGACTACAACTGTTTGTCTTCAGAAGAAAGCAATAGGTGTGGGAACTTGGACATGATTCATAGGCCAGTTGCTGGTAATGCCCAAGAAGGAAAGGAAAGCACCCACATTCACAGTACTAACCAGTAAGGTAACCTGATACCCCATAACACGAAAATATATCTCCCCTTTATCTGTTTCTCTCTCTTTTTTTTTTTTTTTTTTTTTTTTGGCTACAGTGGGTCTTCATTGCTGCACCTGGGCTTTCTCTAATTGTGGCGAGCTGGGGCCAGGTTCAGTAGTTGTGATGCATGGGCTCTAGGGTGCATGGGCTTCAGGAATTGTGGCTCGTGGGCTCTAGAGCACAGGCTCAGGTGTTGTGGTGCATGGGCTTAGTCGCTCCACAGCATGTGGGATCTTCTCAGACCAGGGACTGAACCTGTGTCCCCTGCATTGGCAGGCAGATTTTAACTACTGTGCCACCAGGGAAGCCCTCTCCCCTTTATCTCACAAAAGCAGGTCAGCTGCAAATCCATTTTTCCACTCAAGCTGACTACAAAGAAATCAAGCTGAATGAATGGAAGACTGCCTCCAAAAAATGGTTAGAGAACAAAGAAAACCAGAATTTTAGAATAAGTTTAAATAGCATCCTTAATAGATATAAGGAACTAAAAAAATCTAGAAAGTGGAATCACTTAGATTATACAAAATTTTAATTTGTACTCATTGAATTAAAAGTTCAGTAGTTGGCTTGAATAGCAATAAGTACATAGTGAAAAAGTAAATCAGGACACAAAAAATAGAGAAATGAGCACCAGAATGCAGCAGAAAGGAATATAGACGTATAATGTGTATATAAACTTGACATTCAGCAATTTAAAAATTTTTGGAGTGATAGGTCACATATCTATTTGAAGATCATATTCACTATGACCCTTTACTCAGAAAAACGTACACATCTACATATACTCATGTGCTGTTATGGGTAATAGCAGGGACTTACTTAACCTCCATCAGGACTTACTTAATCTCCAAAATTCACAAATCGACCACACCTCCTGAATGACAATAGCCATCTAACAGAATGTCCAGGAGACAAGAACAGAGAGAATTGTGGGGAGGTCATGTTCTTCACAGGAAGATGGAGATTTCCAAAAATAAAGATGGATAAGAATGCTCAGATTAAATTAGAACCATCATGTGGTTAGCAGGAAAACATCTATATCCCAAGTTTTGAGTTGCACATTTCTTCACATTTTAACATCTCTGAAATTGAGTTTAACAAACTATGTAGTCTAGTTTAATTAGTAGTGATTTTTAAGTGATAAATAAAATAAGTGGAATTACAACCCATGGCTTCTTAAATTCAATCACATGCATTAAATACAAATACAAAAAATAAATAATACCAAGAAAGCTCTTAGAAAAAATTCAGAAACTGAATGATTAACATAAAAATTCTGAATGTTTCAAAGAGAGAAAAAACTGTGTATTTACAAAAGAACAAGAATCATATTAATATCAGACTTTAATCAGTGACAAATATTTCAGGAAAACTGTCTAAATATTTAAATTAAAAGGAAAATAATTTTGTATTTAGAATGCCATACTCTGCAAAACAGAGAAGGAGAGTCTAAGCAGAACAAAGAAATCTCTGTGCTGACAGCAAATGAATATCCAACTTCCAATCAAGAATTATAGACATTTGAAGAAGCAGAAAAACATCAGTTCATAGAAACAGATGCAGAAATGACAGAGACAATAAAAACAGCAAGGATGTTAAAACAGTTATTATAAATAAGATCCAATGCACAGGAAAATATGGACATGATAAGGAGAGAAATTTAAGATAAAAAAAAAAGTGGCCTTTCTGGAGGTGAAACTATAACATCTGAAATGATATTATATGAAATTAACAGCAGGTTAGACATTAGAAAAAGTCTAATGAACTTACGCACATAGCAAAAGAAAGTATCTAGAAAAAAGCTCAGAGGGAAAACAAAATCTGGGGGGAAAAAAACCGAAACACAGCAATAGTGACCTGTGGGATAATACTAAGAGGTCCAACATATGTATAATTGTAGTTCTAAACTACAAGAAGCAAAACCAGATACAACTGAAAAAGAAATAAAGAAATCTATAATTACAGTTGGAGATTTCCATACTTCTCTTTCATTGATAGGACAAGTAGACACAAAATAAAAATAAAGACTTGACCAACTGTTTGTATCAATCAACTTTACATTTATAGAGCACTTCATTCAACAACAGCAGAATACATATTCTTTTCAACTGCATATAAAATATTCATCATAATAGACCATATTTGGGGCCATAAAATAAGTCCCTGTAAATTTGAAAGGCTTGAAATATATGATGTGACCACAATAGAATTAAGCTAGAAATCAAAAGTAAAGATACTTGGAAAATCTGCAAAATAATTAATATTTAAACAGCATATTTCTAAAGAATCCATAAGTCAAGAAGAAATCATGTGGAAAATGTAAAACTTTTAACCTGGTGATAAAGAAAATATACTGAAATTTGTGAGAGGAAGCTGAATAAAACTACACAGAGAGGAGGGAAATTTCTACCTCCAAATACTTGTATTACAAAAGAAAAAAGTTATCAAAATCAATGATCTAAGAAACTATTAAAATGTGTAAATTAAACCCAAAGCAAACAAAATAATAAAGAATGGAAATCAATGACAGAGAAAAAGAAAGATATAGAGAAAATTAAAATTTAATAGGTTCTGTGAAAAGATCAATAAAATTGACAAACTTATACCAGAGGTGATCAAGAGAAAAGAGAGAACACACACGTTATCAATACCAGAAATTAAAATTGTGGACATCAAAATCTCAAATAAACAACCTAACCTTACACCTAAAGGAACTAGAAAAAGAACAAACAAAATGAAAAGTTAGTAGAAGGAAAGAAATCATAAAAATCAGACCAGAAATAAAATAGACACTAAAAAAAAAAAAACAGAAAAGATCAATGAAACTAAGAGCTGGTTCTTTGAAAATGTAAGCAAAATTCATAAACCTTTAACCAGACTCATCAAAGAAAAAAGAGAGAGACTAAATTAATAAAATCAGAAATAAAAAAGTTAAAACTGACAACACAAAAATATAAAAAAGGATCATAAGAGATTACTACAAACAAATATGCAATAAAATGGACAACCTAGAAAAAAATGGGCAAATTCCTAGAAATGAACACTCTCCCAGGACTGAACCAGGAAGAAACAGAAAATATGAACAGACCAATTATCAATACTGAAATTGAATCAGTTATTTTTAAAAGCTCCCAACAAACAAAAGTCCAGAACCAGACGGCTTCACAGGTAAATTCTAACAAACTTTTAGAGAACAACTAACACCAATCCTTCACAAATTATTCCCAAAAAATTGCAGAGGAAGAAATGCCCCAGACTCCAGGGCCGTCAAGCCTGCAGGAGCACGCACGCACAGCCAGGTGCAGCCTATTGAGCGAGGACGCCAGAGCCTGACCCAGAGCTGCAAAAGCCCAGGAGGAAGCTGGGAGCTTCAGACCTACGTGTGTTGAGCACCTTACTTTTGTTCTGGGTAGGAATGCTGATGTCCACCATGGGTGTGACCTGGAACGATGTCTGGCGGGGGCGGGGGGGGGCGTGGCGGATTTTGTGTTTTGTCCCTGGGGAAGCCCAAGCGCCTGGAGCCGGGCCTGGCACATAGCAAGTGTGACGTGTGTTTGTGTGTAGGTGTATGTCCCGAATTGGGATGGCCCTCTTTACCTGACCTGATGCTGGTCACCTCGAGCTACTCTGCAGCCGGTTGTGGAAGTGGGTGGAGTCGTGTTGCCGTGTGGTGTTTCCTCTGGTGTATCTATTTTTGGATTAAGTGTGAGTCGTGTTTGAGCTTGTAAGTGACTGGAAGAGACATTAACAGGAAGTGGTTTGTGAGTGTGATTTTTCTGTGTAGAATTACTTATATGAGGTAGAGAATGATGTGATGCCTCAGGATTTTGGTTTTGTTGAGTGGATGAGATAGTAGGTAACTGAATGTGTCTGTTTTTATAGATGTGTTAGTATTTATATGATGGTTACAGAAGGGATGTTGTTCTCTTGCATATGTTCTATGGTGGCAGACTGCTGAGCGACTCATAAACAGTGCCTGACTGTGACTAGCTGGATATCTGATACCTGCTTTTATTTGAGCCTACAGAATTGTGCTGGCAGTTAGGTAAGTGAAATAATTATAGTTGTAAGAATTGAAAAGGAGATTTGGACTATCATAATTTCCAGATATCATTGTATATCTGGAAACTCAATGTCAACTAATAACAATATATTGAATTGAGTAAGACTCCACGCATTGCTTGCAAACAAAATATTTTATTAACTACTACTTTAAACACTTCTGTGTGTTTTTTCATGCTCCTAAATGAAGTGTTGGCTGATTCAATAGATTCTTCAGTCACTGTAAGATGATAAAACTGAGGTCACTCTCAATAAGTATAATCATTTTTGCTAATTAAAATATTCTCTGGAAAAATCATTACTTCAAACTTCATTTAAAGCAAAAACTTTCCACCTCCTGCAACTTGGAATTTCTTCTCTAATATCCCAGTCTGTAATTTGACTACTTTACTTTATCTCTCTCTGTACGTGGTCTCTGGCTCTTCTGGGATTGAACCAGGGGACAAGAGAAATAAGGAGCAAGAAAAATATCACTTGATTGGTATTGCAGTAATCTAACTAAGGTTATGTCTTGCCTTGGTGGCATTCAAAGCTGACTTTTAAAAATCTCTTTATTTTACAATATTTTAATTATGAAAAACTTCAAACATACAGCCAACTTGAGGGAGTTTTACACTGAATATTTATATACTCACCACCTAGATTCTATCCTTAACATTTTATTATACTAGCTTTGTCATGTATCTATTCATCTCTCTATACATCCAGTAATCCATCTAATTATTATATGCGCTTCAAAGTAAACATCAGTACACTACCTCCTAAATACTTCAGGAAGCATATTAATAAGAGTTCAATCTTTGTTTGCCTTTCTGTTTTGATGTACATACAGGAAAAAATGCAGAAATTTTGAGTGTACTTTCTTGGTTTTGACCAATGTGTATATGTAATCCAAACCCTTATCAAGATATAGAACTTTACAATCACCCGAAGAAGTGCCTTTATGCCTCATGGTGTCAAAACTCACAACCAACCATCCAGAGGCAAATATTGTTCTTTTTGGGGGTAGGGAGCTACAGGTTAACTTTGCCTCTTTCAGAATTTCATATAAATGAAATCTTACAAAATATACTTGTTTGTGTAAGTGTTCTTTCAATGAGAATGTTTTTGAGATTTTGTATATATATTATATATAACATATATATAATATTGTTGGGTCTATCAGTAATTCATTCCTTTTTATTGCTAAGCAGTGTTTTATTGTATGAATAATGTATGGTTTATCAGTTCTTACAGAGATGTACACTTGGGTTGTTTTGGCTAAAAGCTTCTAATAACATTCTTTTACAAGTCTTTCTGTGATTATAGTTTTCATCCTCTTGGGTAAATAGCCAGGAGTGGAATTGTTGAGTCATAGGGTGGGTATATGTTTAGTTTTATAAGAAACTTTCCAGATCTTTCTCCATTGTCAAGCCCCACCAACAATGTCTGAGAGTTCCAGTTGTTCCACAAAATCCAGGTTTAGGAGTTATTAACCTTTTTCACTTTAACCATTCTGGTGAGCGTGCAGTGGTATCTTAGTGGTTTTAATTTGCATTTCCCTGATAATTAATGATGTTGAGTTCCCTTACATAAGATTTTTGGCTATTTGTATATTTTTATAAAATGTCCAAAAATTATTGATTTGCAGAGTTCTCTATGTATCCTGGATACCAGTCCTTTGTCAGATATATGTTTTATGAATATTTTCTCCTACTCTGTTCCTTGCCTGTTTGTTTTTGTAAAGATGTCTTTTGGTGAGAAGTTTTTAATTTTGATGAACTCTGAATTTATCACTTTAACCTTTAATGGTTTTTGTCTTCTGTGACCTAAAAAACATTTGCCTGTCCCTAAATCACAAAATCTTATGTTTTCCAATAATCACTCTTTTGTTTTAGCTTTTATGTTTAGGTGTATGACCAAACTCATTATTATTAATTATTATTATTATTTGGTATGATAGTTAGATAGGGTAAGTAATCATGTCCTTTGCAAAAAGATAGTTTTACTTATTTCTGATCTATACGCCTTTTAAAAAACAAATAACTCAATCCAAAAATGAGCAGAAGACCTTAATAGACTTTTCTCCAAAGAAGACATACAGATGACCAGTAGGCACATAAAAAGATGCTCAGCATCACTTATTATTAGAGAAATGCAAATCAAAACCACAATGAGACATCACTCCACACCTGTCAGAACGGCCATCATTAAAAAGTCTACAAATAACAAATGTTGGAGAGGATGTGCAGAAAAGGGAACCCTCGTACACTGTTGGTGGGAATGTAAGTTGGTACAGCCACTATGCAAAACAGTATGAAGGTTCCTCAGAAAACTAAAAATAGAATTACCATATGATCCAGCAATCCCACTCCTGGGAATATACCCAGACAAAACTATAATTCAGAAAGATACATGCACCCCTATGTTCATAGCAGCACTGTTCACAATATCCAAAACATGGAAACAACCTAAATGTCCATTGACAGATGAATGGATAAAGAAGATGTGGTACATATATACAATGGACTACTACTCAGCCATAAAAAAGAATGAAATAATGCCATTTGCAGCAACATGGATGCAACTAGAAATTATCATACTAAGTGAAATAAGTCAGAAAGAGAAAGACAAATACCATATGATATCACTTATATGTGGAATCTAAAATATGGCACAAGTGAACTTATCTATGAAACAGAAACAGACTCATAGACATAGAGAATAGACTTGTGGTTGCCAAGCAGGGAGGGAGAGAGAGGGAGGACTGGAAGTTTGGGGTTAGTAGCTCCAAACTATTACGTTTAGAATGGATAAATAACAAGGTCCTAATGTATAGCGCAGGGAACTATATTTAATAACCTGTGATAAACCATAATAGAAAAGAATATTTAAAAAAAGAATGCATATATGTGTATAACTGAGTCACTTTGCTGTACAGCAGAGATTGGGCACAACATTGTAAACCAACTATACTTCAATTTTTTAAAAAATTTTAAAAAAGAACATAAGGACACAAATGTGATATGGTTAGACCATCTATTAAATATGCACTTGAAGTCCCAGAAAGAGGACTGAGACAATAGGACAGATGTAATATCTGAAAAGAAAGTAGCTGTTAATTTTCCAAAACTGATTTTTTTTAGAAAATAAAGAAGCCCTACAAATCCCAAACAGGAAAAATCACATATATGCCAAAAAACAAAACAAAATCTAAAAACACTGAGAGAAGAAAGGCTATATTGCTTTCAAAGAAACAAACATAACATAATGGAAGTCAGAAGTAAGGTAACAGAAGTGCTAACCAAAAATAACTGCCTTCCTAGAATTCAAAATCCAGTGAAAATCCTTCAGAAATTAAGATGAAACAATGGTATTTTCATATAAAAGTATTGAGAGAATTTGTCACCAGTGGACCAACACTAAAGGAAACTCTAAAGGATGTTTTTTTAAAAAAAGATTTTTTTTATGTGGTCCATTTTTATAACTCTTTATTGAATTTGTTACAATATTGCTTCTGTTTTATGCTTTGGGTTTTTGGCCATGAGGCATGTGGGATCTTAACTCCCCAACCAGGGATTGAACCCACACCCCCTGCATTGGAAGGCAAAGTCTTAACCACTGGGCCACCAGGGAAGTCCCAGTGTTTTTTAATAGATAGAAGAAAAACAATCTCAGATGGCAGCTTGGAGATGCAGGAAGTAATAAATAGCAACATCAGTGTGTAAAATGGTGTTGAAATTCCAAAATCCATAAAAGCAGTCAGACATATTGGGTCAAATAAGGTGACACCCGCTCCAATAAAAAAAAGTAAATGCCATGAATAACTTGTGGTAGGGAAATTTTTCATAAACAAGACATTAAAAGCACAAAACATAAATAGTTGAAAATGCCATTACATCAAAATTAAGAAATTTTATCAAAAGACTTCATAAAAATAAAAAAACAAGTCATAAACTAGGAAAAATAATTACAACATATCATATAGCGAACAAATGACTAGTATCCAGAATATATTAAAGCTCCTATGAATCAATAACACAAGGAGCAATACCTGAGGAGTGCAGATCTTGGTTAAAAACCTGTGAGTGAATTTTCAGGCCTGACTATAGGCTGTTAAAATGGCTTTATGTGTCGCAAAAAAAAAAAAAAAAAAAATGGCTTTATGTGGCAGGCCTACAGGGGTGAGCTGCCCTCCCCATACCAGACTTGTTACACTGCCAGTGCACTGCAGTTTCTGAAGGGAGTTGCAGTGAAGGACTCAGGCCCCCCTGGACAGTTATGTTCTTCACATATTTGCATTCCTACCCTTGGTGCCTTCTTTCCCAAGTCTCTGTATCTGAGACCTTGAGCAGAGGTCTTCTTCAGATATCTCTGCTGATAATTCCTTGTTAGGAGAAAGCTTGAAAATACTTTTCCCCACTCTGACTTAGTACCCAGTACTTTCCCATTCCTAGGGGAATCCAAGGGGGATCCCTTGTCCGCTCTCTGATCCCAAGGTCCATAAAAGTGCCAGAGCCTTTTGTTCAGGACTCCCTCAACAGTGAGAAGATTCCCACATCTGCACTGATCCACCTGACCCTCAACTGGTGCAACTGATCTCTTCCTGGATCCTAGAAAAGACAGCCCATAGATATTCAGACACCTTCCTAGGCTGGGCTTATTCTCATGGACTGCCACAAGTCATCATAAGATGCCAAAACCACATGGAAAAACTGTCCTGCCTGCCAGACCCTGCCCAAGACTAAGAACACTGCCCAGGGATAGATTTCCCAGCCAGTGGGCCAGGATATTCTTGGCAGAGAAACCAAATTGGGCCTCTTCCTATCCAGAGTTTTGCTGGATCCTGACTGCAATTGACACTCTCTGGGTTTGGCCTAGCCATCTACGTGAATTCCACTGACTCAGACCACATAACCCAGGCCCTACAAGACCACATTTGCTTCTTTGGATTTCCTGAACATATTGCTTCTGATGACGGCCCCTGATTTGTGGCCCAAGGCACACATCAGTGTGCCCAATCACAGGGTGTATGGACTCTCCATGCTCCATATCACCCCCAAGCTGAAGGGATGATTGAGCATTTGGACGGACAATTAAAGGACAGGATTAGGGACTTCCCTGGTGGCACAGTGGTTAAGAATCTGCCGGCCAATGCAGGGGACACATGTTCGATCCCTGGTCCAGGAAGATCCCACATGCCACGGAGCAACTAAGCCTGTGTGCCACAAATACAGAGCC